CGGGCCTTCTCTGTAGACGCAGGGCCGGCGCCTTCTGTGAAGCAGCGTGATTTTGAGACGCCTGCCCCCTCCCCCCACCCCGCCGTGCGCGCCGCCAGCCCGTGGTCGCACTCCTGGCCCGTCGAGCTCAACGACGTGCGGTCCGGGGGGTCCTGCTGTGGCCCCTGCACGCCAGGCGTGGCCAGGCGATGCCCTCGGGGCGCGGGGCGGCCTGGGGCCCCCTGCGCGCCTTCCGGGGGTCCCGCGGCAGGGAGCCGCCGCCGCTCTATCAGGGCAGAGGAGGAGGAGGAGGAGGAGGAGGAGGAGGAGGAGGAGGAGGAGGAGGAGGAGGAGGAGCAGGAGGAGGAGGAGGAGGAGCAGGAGGAGGAGGAGGAGCAGGAGGAGGGCGGCAGCGTGCCTGCGGGGGAGGCCTGCCCATCGAGCGCCAGCTCTACGAGGCCGGCGTGGTGATCGCGGAGGAGGGCGCCAGGCGCGCACGCCCGCGGGCACCTGCGGCTCGTGTTAGGTCGGGCCTGTCCCCCGACATGGGGATTTGTGGCGAAGAATAAGACATGTTCAAGCATATGAGAAACATACACCAGAAATATTCAACAAATCGTCCCAGACCATTCTTGGACTATTTTCGAATCTTCCTCCTGTCGAAGGACAGGCCCGATTTAAGGCTTGTGCGCCCTCCTCCATGCCTTCCTCCGTTCCCTCCCTCCCTCCCTCCCTCCCTGCCTCCCTCTCTATGTGTGCAGTGTTGGCCAGCGTTGGCCCCAGGCAGCGTTTTCTGGCGTGCCAGGTGGCGCAACCTGCGTGGTGCAGTCTGCGTGGTGCAGTCTATGTGGTGCGCTCTACGTGGTGCAGTCTGCGTGGTGCAGTCTACGTGGTGCACTCTGTGTGGTGCAATCTACGTGGTGCAGTCTATGTGGTGCAATCGAGGTGGTGCGATCTAGGTGGTGCAGTTTACAGTGGAGCAAGCCGTGTGGTGCAATACATGTGGTGCGATCTATGTGGTGCAATCTATGTTGTGGTGCAATGCACCTTGCAGAACTTACAGTTGTCAACTTCACTGCTCGCGCATCCCAACCCTTCCGTCCGCAATGTTGTTGGCAAAACTCACGTCGCGGCGATTGCGACGACTGCTTGGCACTGGCTGGCGCATGCCTGCGGCCGCGCTAGCGCGCGCAAGCTCGCGCGCAGAGCGGCCAGTTCGTTTGGCACAACCAACGCGGTCGCGGCGGCGCTGACCGATGGGGACTTCCCAGCGCGTCTCACAGGCAGCGCTGGCGCGTGGGCACTCCAGTGCGGGTCGGTGACTCGGGCGGGTGCGTTGTCATGATGATGTCGTCAACGGCGGCAACGATCATGATAGTTAGCGGTGGTGGTGACGATGGTGACGATGACAACGGCAAGGCCAATGACGACGCCGATGCTGGTCACGCCGATGACGACGATGATGATGATTGATGGTGATGGTTGATGATGAGGATGATGATGATGACGATGATGATGATGATGATGATGATGATGATGATGATGATGATGATGATGATGATGATGATGATGATGATGATGATTATGATGGTGATGGTGATGGTGATGGTGATGGTGATGGTGATGGTGATGGTGATGGTGATGGTTGATGATGAGGATGATGACGATGATTATGATGATGATGGTGATTCTGATGATGGTGGTGGTGGTGCTGATGATGATGATGATGATGATGATGATGATGGTGATGGCGGTGATGCTGAGGATGATGGTGTCCATGTGCCGCTGACAAACTGTTGGGGGGATTTCAGCGTGTGGGCGCGGCTGGCACGCGCGATCTGTCCGCACGGTCTTCTTATCCGAGCGGCCTGCGCCGTTCCGCCGGCCCCCACAAGGAGTGAGTGCTTGTCAGGAAGGGAAAAACACACACAGACACAATTCATCGTCGATTCCCCGGAAAATATGGGAACATATGGGAAGTGGGGGGGAGACAAAAACCAAGAAAAGTGTGTATTTATTTGTGTGTCACAGTTCCCCTTCAGTTTGAGACGATCATGGAGGCTATACCACGGGGCAGGAGGTTCCTTGGATGCATACGAGGGCCCCTTGAGGGGTGCTTCTCGGCCGCCCCTTGGAGGGCTGTTAGGGGGCACCCGGGAGGCTTTTGAGGCCTCCTTGGAGGGGCCTCGGGGCCGCCTGGGGGGCTCGAGGGGCCGCCTCGGTGGGAAACGCTCGAAGTGTCAATCCGTATTCCCCCTGTTGGGCTTTCTCGGAACCCTCTCGGGGCCCTCCCAGGGGCTGTCTCGGGCCGTCTCGTGGGGCTCCTGGGGCGGTCTCTGTGGCCTCTTGGGCCGTCTCGGGTCTTGCTTTGAGGCATCATGGGCCTTCTTGGGGCGACCTTGGGTGCCACTTGGGCCGTCGTGTTCGCTGCCAAAACGTAAAATGCGAATGTGCTGGACGTGTACGTTTTTCAAGGGGAATGGGATGATATTGGCCTCCTGGGGTCGTCTCGGCGATCCTCATCTTGAAGCCATCTTGGATCGTCGTGAGGCTACCCTGGGCCGTCATGACGCTTCCTTCGACTGTCTTGGCGCTCTGCCTGGGTCCTGTTGGGCTGTCTTGGGGCTTTTTGGGGACCCCAGAGGCCCCGAGGGTGCGTTGACGAACTCGTGCCCCCCCCCCCCCCCCCCCCAAGAATGGCATTTTGGACTCCAGGGGAGGGGGAAAGGGGGAGGTGGACAGCCAAACGTCTCACACGCCTTTTATCCCCCCGAAGGGGGGGGGATCGGCGGATTCCCAGCCCTCCCGCGTTGGGTTCTCGTCTTGAAAAAAGCACTGCGATCGAAACTCCTTCTCCCGCCTCCCTCGTCTCCTCCCTCTTCCTTGTCTCTCCTGCCTTCTGCCTAGCCTGTGGCTGCCTGCCAGCTCGCCTCTTACCTTGGCCGTCCTTTGTGACCCCACCACCGTGGGGGGGGCTGCGAACTGCGAAGCTGTCGCCACCATCGAGGGCTGCCGTGGGTCCAGCATTGTGCCGTTCTGTTCACATTTTTCGGATTGGACCTCACCATCCCGGGGGGGGGAGGGGGGGGCTGCCTCCCTGGGTCTCTCCTCCCTCTCTCCCTTCATCTCTCTCGCTCTCTCTCTCCCTCCCTCCCTCCCTCGCGCTTTTTCAGTCCGTGGCCCCAGCACCAGGCCCGTGTTGGGACTGGCGTCACCCGGGGCCAGGCGCATCGGCCGGATGCCCCCGGTGCAGCACGACAGGGCGGGTGCGTTCTTCGGGGTGGTTGTTCTCAGCACCCAGATGGGGGCTCTCTCCCTCCCTCCCTCCCTCTCTCCCTCCCTCCCTCCCTCCCTCTTCCCTCCTCCGTTCTTGTGATGTGCAGTGGGACTTATGGGGACGAGATCGGTGGTACGCATCGCAATGGACTGCGGGTGTGGAAGCTGCGTGAAGACATGATGGGAAATTCCTGGGTCGAGTGGGGTGGTCTGGTGCGGTCCAGTACGCCCCTGTCCCGAGTGAAGGAGGCAATCGCTCTCATGAGATCAGTGTTGCACTCGATGACGCCCGAGATCCTGCACCAAACCCGCCCATCCACCCAACCATAGAGCTTTGCCTCTTCGCAGCCCTTCGTATCATGAAGCCCCTCATTCATTTCACAGGCAGTACTGAACATGATGATGGGCATGTGTTGCGCAATGCAATTTGCTCTCCCAGTCCATGCTGACGGGCGTGCGCATGAATGAATTTCATGTCGGGATCGTTTCACCGATCCCCCATCCCCATCCTCATCCCCTTCGAGACCCCCACCAGATTGCCCCCAGTTGGGGATACGCCCCACGGAGCCCGAGGGCTACGGCCCGCATCCCCATCTGGGGGGGGTGAAGCGGCCAGTGGGGCCCAGGCCACGCCGCCGGGGGGACGGGGGTCGGATCAGCGATGCTCGTCGAGCGCGCATCTCGACAGTGGCGCTCGCGGGGACTGACGCGCGCGCGCGTGGCCCGCGCGGCTCTCTTTGACGAGGACGGTGCCCGTGCAGCGCGCGCGTGCGCGCGCGTGTGGCGCGCACGACAGCGAAAGTCAGGAGGGGGCAAAAACACACACAGACACAACTAATCGTCGATCCCCCCAGAAAATATGGGAGACTGTGGGAAATGGCGGGGAAGACGAACATCCAAAACATATGGGAAACATACGGGGGATCCTGGGATTTGTGTGTATCTATTTGTGCGTCCCAGTGCCCCTTTAGAAAGGACGAGCATTCCAGATGTTCCCCAGGTCCGAAGGCGATTTTGGTATCCTGTAGGGTTCTTTAGCGGGCTCCGAGGGTGCTTGGAGCCGTCTTGGGGCCGTGGTCTGGAACCAGCTTCGGCCATCATGCGTCACCTTGGAGGCCACCTCGGCGCATCGCGGGCCATCTTGTGGCCATCTTGGGCCTTCTTAAGGTTTCGGGTTGGTTCAGGGTTTACGATTTAGGGTTTATGGCTTAATGCTTAGGGTTTAGGGTTTAGGGTAGGGTTTAGGGCTTAGGGTTCAAGGCTTAGGGTTAGGTCTTAGGGTTTGGGGCTGGTTTAGAGGGTTTCGGGTCTAGGTTTAGGGTTAAGGATCAGGTATCAGGGCTTAGGGTTCAAGGTTTAGGGTTTTGTGTGTTCGGTCCCTTCGCGCCCCCCCCTAGTTCAGACCCAGGGGAGGGGGTAGGGGGAGGGCTGGCCCTCTCCCTGAATGGGGAAGAAGGGTTTTTGGAAGAGGGGGGAGAAACAATGTCATACCACTTCCGCCGAGAGGGCTGATCGGAGTAGAGGGGGTGGTGGGCGACTTCACGATCCGCTGGGTTCATTGCTACAGTGCGCTCTCACATAGTATCAAACTTGACAGTGAGATCGGGAAGCGCAGAGCAAGTACCTCAAGCATTCCACCCTTCCTCCTTGCTCCCTCTTTCCTGATCCGTCCGCCCTCCTCCTCCCTCCGTTCCCGCTCGCTCCCCTCCTTTCTCCTACATCCTCCTTACTCCGCCACGGATTTGGCTCAGGTGTGTTTTGTTGTTCAGGATTTGTATCTTCGTGGGTTCACTGCTCGGGTTAGACTCGGATCTCCGTCGCAGCGTTTTTTTGACTCAGGCCCGTGGGGCTCCTGGCCCTTCTCCCAGGGACCAGTTTGTCATCCCGGGTCGCTCCGTACACGTCCCAAGGCCCAGAAGTGGCCCTTGGAAGCGGAAGACTTAAGAGCAACGACACCCATGACTGACGAAAAAGCACGACGTCGGAGGTCTGGTTGGCGAGACGATGCCTGTGACGTCAGAGCAGGTGGAGGAGTGGGCTGATGAGATCTGGGAGGGCTTGGGCAAGGACCCGAGCTGGTCCATCGCGGAGGTGAGGTGCAAGGAGGAAGGTTGCCCGCCAGTGGAAACCGTCATCACGGACTTGAACACGAAGAAGCCAGTGCCGGGCAGAGGCTCATGATGAATACAGATAGTGCGATCGCTGTCGTCGTCGTCGTCGTCGTCGTCGTCGATCGACGACTGGTGATCGATTTCTTCGGGCGCTGCTGGGCGGTTTGGGGTGTTTGTCGGCGCTCTGGTGGACTCTGGGAGTATTTTTGGGCAGTAGGGATGCATTTTTTCAGGTGGGGGTGAGGCTCAGGGGCCTAGAGAGAATCCCGCCATGCCGCACAGCGATCACGCGACATGCATCGCGTGGTGATGGTCAGCAGACCGCGGGGGGGGGGGGGTGCATAGTATTCAATGGGATTCTTCCATCTGTCAGCGGTTTTCTCATTAGCTCCTCTTGACTCCTTTTGTGTTCTTGTTCTATTGCCATGGGGTGTCGCATGTATGCTTGTATTTCTTTCGGGCTCATTTCATTTCCCGTAGTACTACTTTTTCGTTGTTTTCGTTCATGAGGTTATCGATTAATCATTGTGTTCTTGAAGAGTCGTTTCGTGTTCGTCCGTGTGATTTTCATCTCGTTGTGACATTAGATTCCTGGGGATCAGTTCCTTTCCATTCATCGTCCCTTTGGCGCTCGCACTTGCGTAGTCGCTTGTGCTTGCGTGCGTACACGATTGGATGGGTGCGTTGGGGAGTTTCGGCGGCGGGCGAGGGGGGGAAGTGAGAAGGGGAAGGCCTTCTCGGAAGGCGGCGGGACTTCTCAGAAGCCCTCGCGCCTCCTGAGAAGTTTTTGTTTTTCGCCTGCGGGGAAGGCTTCGGAAACTTCTCAGCAGGCCGGGGAACTTCCGAGTCTTCTGAGAAGGCCCGCCCTACAGTCAACCCGCATCATAAGGATGGGCAGCCTTCCCAAGGGCACCCTTGCACCCTTGCCCCCTCGACCCATCCTTCGCCACCTTCGTTGGCCGCGCCCCGCTCGAAGAGCTTCGAATGGGGCGCCCAAGGCCCTTGCATCCCCATCGTGCCTCCTTCCTGCACGGGCTGACTGCATCTCGTCTCTCCCCCGGGCGCGCCGCCCAGAGTTGACTCTGTAAGAACGGTTTTTTGAAGGCAGATCTGCCTTCAAACAACCGTTCTTACAGAGTGCCTGCTTCATGGCCGCCCGCGGGCGCCCCGCGCGTCGGCGGGTCGTGCGCCGGGATCTCCCACTGGCCGCCCCGCCGGCGCCTCGTGGCCGCCCAGCGGCGCGCGGGGTGGGCGCGGCCGGGCTGCGCCTCGGTGCCCGCCCGACGGGGCGCCCCGACGGGGCGCCCACGGGCGCGGCGTGCGCCGCGTGGCTCGCGCGCGCGATCGGCCGGCACCGCAGAGGCTGCACCACGCAGCCTGCACCGCACCGCCTGCACCGCGCCGCCTGCACCACTTGGCCTACAGCGCCCGGGTCGCACCGCACATCGGCGCCGCGTGTAGAGTGCACCAGATGGCCTGCACAACACAGGTTGTACCCCCTGTCCGGCGCTGCACAGTCCGCACCATCTAGCGTCCACCACATATTGCACCCCTCATGTTGCACCACACATGCGTACATATGCATACATACATCTACATACCTATACGACCACCCTTCGTGTGATACGGAGGTTGGGGGGGGGGGAGAGGGGGGGGAACCAACATCTGACTCAATCGATCTCTCTATCGATCTCACTCAACGGGACACCACAGGACACCACGGGACACCATGGGACACCACGGGACACTTGTCGACCTCACTATCCATCTCACTATCGATCTCACTCAACGGGACACCACGGGACACCACGGGGACACCACGGGACACCACGGGATACCACGAGACACTCTCGATCTCACTATCTGTCTCACTATCGATCTCACTATCGATCTCACTCAACGGGACACCACGGGACACCTGTCGATCTCACTATCGATCTCATTATCGATCTCACTCAACGGGACACCACAGGACACCACGGGACACCATGGGACACCACGGGACACTTGTCGATCTCACTATCGATCTCATTATCGATCTCACTCAACGGGACACCACGGGACACCACGAGACACCTCGGGGCATCAAATCGATCTCAGTATCGATCTCACTATCGATCTCACTATCGATCTCACTCAACGGGCCACCACGGGCCACCACAAGACACCACTGGACACCAGCGGGACACCGCGGGCCACCGGCCGCCGGAGGAGAAACATTTGGTCCGGTCGCGGCCCAGCCACAGGAGGATTTCGGGACACCAGCGGGACATCGGCGGGACACCGCGGGCCACCAGCCGCCGGAGGAAAATCATTTGGTCCGGCCGCGGCCCAGCCACAGGAGGATTTCCTCTCGCCCGCCCACGCAGCTTCGCCTCGCCCGCACGCACGCACGGCACGCACGACACGAACCCGAAACCGAAATCGATTTCCCGGTAGGGGGGTCTCCGCTTCACGTCGGACTCACCCCCCAACTTCCGATAGAGATACATAAAAATAATCACCCACATGTCGAAGACGCCTACGGCGAATCACCGCCGCCCCCTACCTTTTGGAATCGCCCATGTGGCCGAACGTTGTGGCCAGAGCTCTGCCAAGCTATCGGACCATCTGTTCCCCCCAGCCGTTGTGGAAACCCTTCGGGGGAGGATGGCGGGGAAGATCAGGTGGAGGAGGAGGAGGTGGAGGAGGAGGAGGAGGAGGAGGAGGAGGAGGCATGTTGGGAGCCTCTGGGGGCACTCTCGGGGCCTCCTGGGAGCTTCCTGGGCGCTTCTTGTGGGGGCCTCTTGGAGGCACCTTGGGGGCCTTTAGGGCCTCTTGGGGCTCTTCGGGGGTCCTCACGGGGGCCCCCTTTGCCCGTCTCGGGGTTCTTGGCCCGTCTGACGCCGTCGGCAGCCGTCTGATGGGGGCCTCCCTGAACCGACTTGGGGCCCTTTGGGGGTGCTCCAGGGCGAGTTTCTGTTGATGGTCGTTCTGGGGGGGCTTTGACAGCGGGGGCGTGGTGGCTCCGCGTTTTCACCCGGTCGCCCCCCGTTCCAAGGGTCTGCCGCCGGGGCTGCACTGATCAATTTTTACGCGGTGCACCCACGACGCGGCATCATATGAGTGCCATTCTGTTTGTGGGGTCGTTCCAGAGTGAGCGTGTCCCACTTCACCATTCGCGCGGTGCTCTAGGGCCGTCTCGGAGTCCATCTGGGTGATTTTGGAGGCCTCTTGGGCCCTCTTGGGGCCCTCTCGGGGCCGTCTTGTGGGCCCCCTGGGCCGTTCTGGGGCCATCCTGGAGGCGTCTTGGGGCGAACTTGGGGCGATCTTGGGGGGGGCTCTTGGGCCGTGTCGGGCCGTCGGAAGGCTGAACAGAAGCCAATGCCACAACTCTTCAAAAACCGAAGGAAATTCCACGCTTTTGGTCTCTTCGGGCCTTCCTGGAGGTCCTCCTCTTGCGCCATCCTGATAGCCTCTCGGGGACCTTACGGCCCATCTTGGGCCGTCTGGGTGGCTTCTTGGGCGGACTTGGAAGCATCTGGGACCCTCTTGGGCCGTCTTGGTGGCCATCTTGGACCATCTTGGGCGAATTTGGAGGTCATCTTGGGCTATCTTGGACGTCTTGGAGGTCATGGAGGTCGTCTTGGAGACGTTGCTTGCGCAGCGGCGGGGCCTTCGGGTGGCCGGCGGCATGGACCGACGCCCCAGGGGGACTTCTTTCGGAAAAGAACCCAAACCAAGCCGTAGGATCCAGCACGCCAGGCACCCGTGTGATAAATCAACAGGCGGCGGATCTTATGGCCTTCCGACGACCGAAGCAGCCTCCAAGACCGCTTGAAAACGGTCCACGAGGCCCCAAAGTCGGCCCCAAGACGGCCCCAGGGGGTTTCGTCCCAAGAGAGCCTCAAGAGGACCACAGGAGGTCCCTACGGGTCCCAGAGGGCCTCGAGAGGGTCCCAAGACGGCCCCAGCCCCCCAAGACGGCCCAATAATTTATTTTCGCAAGGCTTTTTGCTAGATTTTTGTATGTCATGCCAAAGCCTTGACACCAAGAGGGCTCCAAATCACTAAGCCAGCGACCTCGCGCCCCCACAACGTATGCGCGCTTTCCATCCCAGTGCCAAGCAGATATGGCCTTCGGCCCATCCCGCCACCGTGCCTGGATTGTGGGTATGAAGCCTATTGGATGTTTGTTGGAATCTCGTGGAAGGCCTCTCGGGGGCCTGCTGGAGGCAGTTGATGCGTCTTGGGGGCCGTTTTGGGGCCTCTTGGGGCCTCTTTTTGGCCTCTTGGGGACCTCTTGGGGCCTCTTGGGCGCCTCTTGGGGCCTCTTTGGGGGCCTCTTTCGTGTTCCCTCTCTTGGGCCCCTTGTGGCGCCGCTTGGGGTCCTCTAGGGCCGTCTTGGGCGCCTCTTGGGCGCCTCTTGGGGCGTTTTGGGGCGCTCTTAGGCCGTCTTGGAGCCCTCTTGGGCCGACTTGGGGTGGTCTTTGGGGCCTCTGGGGCCGTCTTGGAGCGTCGGAAAGCAGAAGAGGCGAGAACGCCCCAATCTTCCCCCAATCAAAGGGAAATCAATGAGTTTTGCCTCTTGGGGCCCTCTTGGGAGGCCTCTTGGAGGCCTCTAGGGGCCTCTTGAAGCCCTCTCGGGCCATCTTGAGGCCACCTTGGGCGTCTTGAAAAGATCATTCGGCGACTCGGGGCCCTCTTGGACCGTGGCGACTCGGGGCCCTGTTGGACCGTCTTGGGGGCCTCGCGGGGCCTCCTTGGCCGTCTTCGGGCTCCCTTGGGCCCGAACACTTCATGCGACGAGGTGCGCCGGAGCCCACGGGGCACGCGGGAAGCCCAGAGAGCTCGGGAAGTGGGGTCTGGGCCCCCGCAAAAGTCTTCAGGAGTGCTGAAGGGATCAGGCAAAGGACCTGAGGCCACGCCCACTCCGTGCCCAGCGGCACGGTGGCGGGTATGTGTGTGTATATATAAAATTATACCTATCTATATATCTATCTATCTATCTATCTATCTATCAATCTATCTATGTATATATATATATATATATATTGCCGAGCCACGAGGGAGATATGTATATGTATAGCACCACCGAATGGTTACACCGCATGTATTGTGCCAGATAGATTGCACCACATAGTCTGCACCACATGCAGTACACATCCAGAATGTAATGATGCACTCCCTGGGTCCACACTGACACATATTTATGTATTCGAATCCTGAACGCTTCGGAAGATCTACTTGGATTCCGCATGCTTTCTTTTACTGCATTGTCCTCGTGCATCCGTGCTTTTATTTTCGTGGGTAACTGTTTATTCTCCTCCTTCGATGTTATTGGTGTTATGTTTTTTCTTCGGATCCCCTCGGGATCCTTAGGGCCCATAACAATTTTATTAGATTGTTCAGATGATTTGCACTTTTTCGTAGGTGGTGTGCTTTTTTTCCGGGTCTCGATCTTTTCCCCATGTGTGCTCTTTAGGACCGCATTACGATCTCGTGCACCATTGTAGTGTCAATCGACTTGTATCATTCCTTGTTGCATGTCTTGGCAGAAGGTTGTCGCCATGCGTATTCAAGCGAATTTCGGACTAACGAAATCACCACTGTCTTGATGTTGAACTTGTTTTCGAGGTAGCCCTCCCCAGGACTATACCCACCCAGTGGTTGCCATCACCCGTAGATTCCGATTCGCCTTTGGGGCTGCAAAGCGATCACCGTCGGAGGCGTGTACAAGATTTTCAAGGCCATCGCCGAGGTTACGCAGGAGGACGTGAAGCAGGTATTAACGACTCAGGAAGCTGCTGGCGGTCACGGGCACGGCGGTGGCCATGGCGGTGGTCACGCTGATAGCGGCCACGCTGCGCACAGCGGCGACTGCTGCAAAGAGGGCCACGGGGGCCACGAGGGTCACAAAGGCCACGATGGTCACGGCGGAGGCCACGGCGATGGAGGCCACGCTGCGCACAGCGGCGACTGCTGTGAGGGCGGGCATGGGGGCCACGAGGGTCATGCGGATGCCGGTCACGGTGGTCATGGAGGCCACTCGTGAGCACCCTGCCAGGGGCAGTATTGATTAGGCGGTGAATTGTGCATCCTGCGATGATGAGCTCTTTTATGCTGGTCAGCTTGCGCTGTCGCGCACATCCGCCACCGCACTTGGTGAAGAGAGTTTCGTCATCGTCGTCGTCGTCGTCGTCGTTGCGCGGTGTCGTCGAGTCGTCGTGGCCTCCCCTTGCTCCCCTGCCCCGGCCTCCCTGGCCTCCTTGGCAGCCCTGGCCTCTGGCCTCCCTGGCCTCCCCTGCAGCCTCCGTGCTCTTCCTCCCCTCTCCCCCCCCAGGGCGGCGGCTTTGCTGTGCCCTCTTGCGCAGCTGTGCTCGCGAGGTCGGCGCCCGTTTGCTTTCGGGGCGGTGGTCGTGGTGGTCGTCGCTCGTGCCCTGCCCCTTGCCCGAGGCCCCCAGGCCGCACCCCTCCTCGCTCCACCTGGCCGAGGAGCCCCCCCCTCCATTCCTGGCCGTGGCCCCAGACCGCAGCCCCTATCGTTCCGCCCGGCCCCCGGAGCCCTTTCTTTTCGTGAGGGTGGCGCTTGTCATTCGTCCCTCCCCTGCCTGACCTGCACCTGGCCTTGCCCCCAGCTCCCATCGCCGCCCCTGGGCGCGGAGCCGTTTACTTCCGTGGTGCTTGTCGTTGTCTCTCGTCCATTCTGCCCTGGTCTGCCCTCTGGTCCTGGCCCCAGCCCCCTCGTTCTTGTGCACGGGCCAGGGCACGCGTGCCACTTGTTTTGGGACCTGCTCAGGCCGTCGTGGGGCTGTCTAGCAGGCCGTGGGCCTCTTTGATGCTGTCTTTCGGGAGGGAAAAAACAAATAAACACAATTAATCGTCGATCCCCCAGAATATATAGGAAATTATAGGAAGTGGGAGGGAAGACAAAACCCAGAAAATATAGGAAACTACGAGGAATCCTGTTATTGGTGTGTATTTATTTGTGTGTCCCTGGGCCCCTTCAGTCTTGGGGTGTCTTGAGCCCCACACCAGAAGCTATCTTGAGTCTTGCGGGGGGTCAAGGCAACTGACCCAATCAGTTTCCTCACGCATCGAACAACGACCCTCCACGACTGAGGCCGCGCTGGCCCTGGTCCCTTCGCGGGCGCCATAGCAGGGCCCAAGATCGTCCCGACAAGGCCCCAGATAGACCAACATGGCGCCAGGAGCCCCTGGAGATACCCTTCAAGACGGCCAAGACGGCCCAAAGACGGCCAAGCACACATCAATGTTCTTCACAAGATCTGTTTGAATCTAGCTCGCCCTCTCGCCTCTCCGATATTCCGAAATTCTAAAATCAGAAGCGGGGCGAAGGCTGGCAGACCCGTGGCTGCTAAAACGGAGCTCCGGGAAATTGTTTTTTTCTCATCCGGGAAGCAGTCTGTTTACTATCTAGTGCGCTGAGCTTTCTTCCGGGAAATCGTGTTTTTCGTCCGGGAAGACCGTTCTAGCAGCCACGGATTTGCCAGCCCTCGCCCAGCCTCCGATAAGAGATGGCCCACGATGCCCCCCCGATGGCCCGGAGACGGCCCGAGAGGCCCAAGGGGGTCCCGATAAGGGCCCAAGTCAGCCCAGCAGGGCTCTCGGGCGGCCCACCAGGGCTCCAGACAGCAGGCCCCCAAGAGGCGGCCACGCGTCACCCGGGACGGATGGTAAGTCGGACCTGTCCTTCCACAGGAGGGATAGCCAAAAATAGTTACAAAATGGTCAGGGGACGATTCCTTGTCGTGTCCATTTCCGAGATTTTTTTGAGCTTTTTCGGTGTATTTCTCATTTTCCGCCCCAAATCCCCCAGTAGGGGGATAGGCCCGACCTCAGACTGATGTTAAGTCGGGCATGTCCCTCTACAGGAGGAATATTCAAGAATAGTCCAAAATTAGTCTGGGGACGTTTTTTCCGACCATTTCGACAGTTTTTGTATACTTTTTTTGTTTGACTATTTCCTTTGTTTCTTCCGAGATTCGTCTGTAGGCGGACATGCCCGACCTAAGACTGATACGGCAAACATCAGAATGTAGCTATCGAAGACGTCTGTGGCGAACCACCGCGCCCCCATCGCGCTCTTGTGGCCAAACCTTGGGCCGAAGGCTTGCCAATCTGTTGGACTTTGTGCTCTCCGAGCTGCTGTGCCAGCAGAGAGGTGCATTTCGGGGTCCGCTTCGCGGGGGTGCTGTCACTATTCGATGCCTCCGGCGCTGGGGCGCGACGATCATTTCGATGGTCTTCAAGACGCGTGTCAGCCCAATGTGTGCTTGCCCCGCTCAGCTCCGCCGATCGCACTCCGCCCGGTGTTTCGGCCCTCACCCCGCCGCTTGTGTCGTGATGAAGAGTCTCGGCGGACAAGAACACGTTGGCGTTGACACACGTTCCGAGGGTCATCCATAGTTGGGCTGCGCGTTTCCCGCGTCGCGTTCTGGGCCGCAGAGGCGCTTTTTTCCAGGGTGGCGACGCACTGCCGATGGTGGTGGCGGATGTATGCCCTTGGCCTTTCCTGCCAATTACAGCCGTACCAGTGGCTCATGCGTTGAGCTTCGGGGGACGAGAGCGATACACAACCACCGATTCTTGCCAGGCCCACGTGGGTCCCAGGGCCAGTGTGTTTGCTCATCTGGCCCTGCCACGAGGGCACATGCACCGATCCTGGGCCCAGGGTGAGCTTGGCAAGGGATCGGTGTGTGCGTCTGGTCATCGTCCTTCTGGAGCTGCAGGAAAAAGCGAGCAGTAGGTTTCGCACGGGCGGTCTGTTGCTGCTCTGCCAGAGGCAAGGCTGCAGGTCTTCGCTGTTTCACAGGAGGGGTGAAGCGAGCAGCCCGCCACCACGGGCGCACCGACCCGACCTTCCTCTCGCCTCCCTCCCCGCCCCCCATCCCCCGCCCTCCGCCGTCTCCCCCCCGCCTTCCTTTCCCCTTCCCTCCCTGCCTCCCTGCCTCTGCGCTTCCCCGCTTCCCCGCCTTCTCTCCTCCTCCCCTCCCTTCCTCTCTCCTTTTTTTTTGTTCTCTCTCTCTCTCTCTCTCCCTTTTTTTGTTCTCTCTCTCTCTCTCTCTCCCTTCCTCTCTCCCCTTTTTTTGTTTTCTCTCTCTCTCTCTCTCGTTCTTTTCTCTATTCTCTCTCTCTCTCTCTCTTCCCTATTCTGCAGCGCCGGGGGATCTCGGCCCCTCCCCCAGGGCAGACTCTTCTCCCCCACTCGTTCTGACGGCCCCGGTGCCTGGAAGCGGCCACGGTAATGATGATGATGATGATGCTGTTGATGACGCTGATGCTGATGCTGATGCTGATGCTGATGCTGATGCTGCTGCTGCTGCTGATGCTGATGCTGATGCTGCTGCTGCTGCTGCTGCTGATGATGATGATGATGATGATGATGATGATGATCTGATGCAGGTGATTCTGATACTGATGGTAATGATGAGGATGATCATGATTATGATAATGATGATAATGATGATGATGCTGATTCCGATTCTGATGATGATGATGATGATGATGATGATGAGAACTAGTATGCTGCTGATGATGATGATGATGACGCTGATGACGATGCTGATGATGTTGTTGATGATGATGAGGGGGATTATCGTGATGCTGATGCTGATGCTGCTGCTGATGCTGA